GTTTAAAAACAGGGGAAAGGCTTGTGGATTGACTTCAGAAAATTAAAAAAGAACAGAAAGCAGAAAGGTAAAAAAGGGGGGAGGGGCAAAAAATCATCCGAGGAATAATCACCTTTGAGAGAAAAGGCACATTTTTGTCATTCAGCAACGAACTGCTCTTATGAGATTATTTCTCTATAATTGAAATTCAACATTTAAAGGCGAAGCCACGCCCAGCTTCAAAACTCGGTAAATTTATGTCATAATTTGCTTAACCAATAATAAAACCACCAGAAAGACTTCCATCATTGCCCAGACAAGGTATGTTTATTCATACTTTATTTGAAAATGGGAGTGTTAGAAAGGAAATCTGTTTTTGAAAAATCCACAAACGACTTCCGATCTCAGGCGCATCGGCAAATTGGACAGCCGTTTTGGTCCACTTGAAAGCCTTTCTCACAGTACATGAGGCACAGAAGTCCGGAGCAGGGGGCTGAGGGTGGAAGAAGTCTCAAATGTTCTCAAAATTGTGACCTTATTTTTGGGCTTACTGCTTTGGCTGCTGCTGCTGTTGTTGTTGTTGTTATTGTTGTTGCTGTATTACAGGTATTGTTGATGTTGCAGTTGTTTCTGTTTCTTGTTGTTGCTGTTGCTGTTGATGTTGATGTTGATGTTTCTGTTGTTGCTGCTGCTGTTGTTGTTGTTGTTGTTGTTGTTGTTGTTGTTTTGTTTTTGGTTTGTTTTTGTTTTTTGTTTTGGGGGGGGGGGGGGTTGGGGGGCGTTTAATGGCGATTGGCAGACGAGCTACTACACTAGGTATTATTCATTTTGACAGCTGACCTTTTATTTCTCCTGTAATTGAAGACACCGGGCTTAGCAAAAGTATTCCTGTAGTAATATTATACTTATATACGGGTATATTTATTTATAGAAATTTATTGAGGCACACTTCAGAACTTTATATTTATTCTAGTGACCCTTTCTATGGAATCACTTGACCGTCTATACCTGGAATTCAAGGCCTAAAGATGTTATTAGAAAATAGTTACTCTCTTATCTCCTACACTAAAAACCAAACGATATGTTTCTTGTCCTTGAAAAATATTTCTGTCTTCTCTCGGATTTTGTTCTGATATGAGATCTGGATCTCACTGCGCCACAGCAGATGCTGTATAGTAGTGTGGGAAAAGTCGTGTGAGTCGGCATCTGTAGCTTATCTACAATGTTCTTGTCCACAACCCTGTAGATGTGTGTTATGTCACCATCCAGTTTCCTGGGTGACCTCTCTTACAAAATCTGCTGAGATTTCAAACATTTCCAACGTCAGAGCTCTGCAGCTGCGAGTCACCATAGTGCTGTGAGATAGATGTGTATGTAGCATGCCAGGCACAAAAATTCTTAAAGCTTTGGGGTCTGGCTGTTGACTATTATTAGACTAAGTTCTATCTATCTATCTATCTTTCTATCTATCTATCTATTTTATCTTGCTGTCTATCTATCTATCCATCTAGCTAGCAATATCTTATCTTTACATGCACAGATAAAAGATTGACAATACCTTAACCTCGACACGTGTAATGAGTTTTGTTACCAAAACCTCAAGGAGGATGAATGAAATCCAGCAATAAATATTGATGGTGCTACACACTCTGTGACACATGACGTAAAGAGATGATTTTATAACACATTAATTACTTTATTGACATTTGCAAACAGGACATCCGTCCGCTCCCAGTGCAAAGCCATTGAAGCAGAACATCTTACACAGGACAGGGGGACAAGCGGTGCCGCTTGGAGCTGGGGAGGAAAGGGTGGTCACATGGGCCAAAGGAAGAAAAACACATTCATAGGAGCGGGAAAAGCTTCCAGGGACTGTTCGGTTGGAGCGTCTTTGTTTGTTTGTTTTTTATTAATTGTCTGTTTGTTTGTTTCGGGATTTTTCTTAAGAATTTATAGTGTGTTTTGTAATGGGGGGAGGGGGTATTTTTGTATTGATTTTTTGTTGTTGTTGTTGTTGTTGTTTTAATATTTTTAAAAAGCACATCGACACCATAATGGTCATGTCAGGTTTGGAATAAGCAAAATGGGCAAACGAAAACAACAAGAAAAGGAATGAAAAGAAGTAGGACCTACCGGTGGCGGCCCCAACCACGGATAAATGAGTCAAGACTTATTTTGACAAATATGTCAAAAAAGGATATTATCGGTTAAATAACCAGAAGAAGTAGGTCAGAATAAGACATGAGATGTTGTAAGATGAGAAAGATAGACCAAATAAATACGTGTCTTTTACTAATCCTACTGAAACTTACAGTGTTTTCAAAGGCATCTACAAACATGAACCCTTTTACTACAAAAACATGAAGTCGATAGAGAACAACACTAAAATATGAAGAAGGGGAGGACGGAGGCGGGATCAAGAGAGAAAAAGAAAAAAGCAGATAGATAGATAGATAGATAGATAGATAGATAGATAGATAGATAGAGAGATAGATATATAGATAGATAGATAGATAGATAG